TTCCAAGTTAGCGAAAAGTTTAGAATTAGTGTTACTTGACGTTTTAGGGGTGAGGGTAAGGCTATGGTTTAGGTTTATGTTAGGACTGGCGCTGGATTTGAGACAGGAAAATAGTAACCGCTTCCTGGAATTATGTGCAAGTCCATCTTCGTAACTTGAGTCTTCGTGTTTACCAGTGATAGATACATCTCCAAGGTTTTGTTTTAAGGAATGCTGCGTGATTGTATCAGCTTTATGGTGCTCGTCTTGAAAATCACCTGATATTGGTTCAAGGTCACTAGACCGGCTTAAAAATAGTGACTTTGCCAGTTTTTTTTGTTTGTCTCTTCGAAGTCACGTGCGACTGGCCTTCATCGGCGTGAGTCTACAGTAGATCAGAGTAGAGTTCTCACGAATAGAGGTAAAGGTTCGCATCCCACGTATTTGTATAGAAGAAGAAGGTGTTTCGATCACCGGAACCGTAAATTTACTCTTCTTCGCCCCCCTCCCCCTATAACAGTTGATTGGTTCCTGCCCCGTATAACTGTTGCTCGCTTTTCGTTGACAGTTTATCACTGACGATGGACTTCCGCAAGGGCCCAAAAGCTCAGAAGAATAAAATTACTATTCCGGTGATTGAAACGCCTTCTTCTTATTCTAGAGTACGGTTCTTACAGACGGTCTTGACTTTGTAGGCGATCGTTTAGCAGTGAGTTGACAATAGAAACTGGATCAAAACGGCCATTTCACACTTGCTATGTTTAGTCTGACTTACACGTTGACTTTCGTCTCCACGTCAACTGCACACCAAAAATTCGCTCGATGCCGACACCTGTTGAGACACCTAACCGTTACCTCGCATGAGTTTATTTTAACTTGCATTCCATTAGGGCTTACGTTAGCTTTCCCCAGTATTCCCTCCGCAGTCTGGGTATCAATTTGTAGTTTTTCAAAAGATTATGGTCAAAAGAGGAAGACGCGACTACTGGAACAAGAGCTTTATTTTCCTGACGTTTCGGGTTCCGTCGGATATCCTTAATCGTATGTAATGGTAGCATAGTCTGAGTCATGCGCAGACGAGGGTGAGACATGCACAGGTTGCACGGTATTTATAGTTCATGGCGGTCATCCGCGTGCGTACTATAATTATCCACTCCTCTAGCCACCGCTTGGGTCTTAATTGGTGCGGTGATGGCTTGACACTTCACGTTTGGCTCATTAATTACCGTGATTTCCTTGTCCGTTTGGATGCGGGCTTGGTAAGTGCGCTACAATTATGCTCGTTGGCGTCAGAGTTGTTGTTGCTGGGCCCGGCCCTTCCCACATGTCTGATTCTCTTGCTCAGGCAATGTCTCAGTACGCAATATGGGAACGCCAAACAATTGTGCTTCTTGATGGACTGGGGGCCTAAGAACCATGACTTGAGCTGCTCGCGGCTCACGCGGTTGCCACCTCTTGCGAGGATTTCGGCCTCGACAAACTTGAAAATAGGGCCGAGTCCCGTCGAGTGAGCTGCAACCTGGAAGTTGGCGTTTTTTTCCTCGCCGTCAAGGGAAACTGGAACGGCTGTTTCCAATTTGTTTGCAGTCAACAGCCAGCCATATTCTAACCACAAAACTGAAAGGACCCGCGGGGCCCGAATCTAGGGTTTTCGATTACTTTAAACCTTAGGTCTTCTGCCAGTTTCTCTCAGTATCTGTAGAGTTAAACTCGGAGCAGTCCCATTAATTTACAAGTATGGATGGCTCACGAATACTCAGTTTGGTAATCGCGCACTCACAAAATGCTTTTGATGCGACCATGTGCGAACATCGACCACCCCTGCAAGGTAGCCACGAAGTAGGCTGTCGTGAAGTATGGTCTTGCTAGGAGGAGTACGTTGAACCTAGAAGTAAAAAAATAAGTTTAGATCCTGGGATGATATCCATGAAAACAGATCAGAGAGCGTAAAGTCTGCTTCTAAGGTCAGAAGACAGCGGGCGACGTCGCTGGGGTGAGTTTGCGGCGGGAATCATGTAGATGAACCGATCAAACTGTCTTGTAGGGCCCCCCGCCCAAATGTCTAATATATTTTGTGGTCAAACATTTAATTCTTGGTTAGTCAGTGTAAATCAATATTTAACCGTGGTGGAAATGATCAAAGAATATTAAATTAAAGGAGCTTGTATTTGTTTCAATGTACTAAATTGAACCAAATCCGTCAACATAAACTCCTGTTGCTCAAGATACTGATGCCAATTGAGGGAAATTTAACTTTATGTTTGCGGAAT